ATGAAATGGCTATTAATAAATGTATTTTTTGCTTCTAATGGTACAATAATCTGGGGTTTCCTTTAATAATGAATATGTCAAAAGACTTCAGGTGAAATTAACTCTACTTGACAATTAAATAATTTTTCTTTTTGATATATCTTACTGGTTAGATTTAATTTGTAGTTATTTGCAACTACAGTATTTTAATTAGTAAAATTATCTTCTTGTCTTTTTGGAGTTTCTGTCAGATTTCTGTGTTAAGATTTTGAAAGTTTCATAACATCAGTGTACTCAATATTAAATTTTAATAGTTTGAGGCTGCACTGTCCAATAGTACCTACTAGCCATATGTGGCTATTTAAATTTACATTAATTAAAAAACAAAACATTCAATTCTTCAGTCACACTAGCCACATTTAATTGCTCAATTGCTACTGTACTGACTGACACAGGTAGTACACCCATGATAGAGCTCTTTCTCAGCTTTAAAATTCTAGGTTGTTTTTTTTTTGTTCCATTGCTATTGTTGGTGCTATTGAAGTTACCCAATTTATAAGGCCCCACATCATATTCTTTGAAGAACTAAGAAAATATTCTCAAACCAAACCATTATTCACTCATCTGAAACAAAGAGGAATCATCATACAAATGAACCTGATTTTTTCATGCAACAGTAAAGAAATAAGTCCTTTAATCTACTGGCTACAAAGTTATCTTTATATATAGTAAGTCATGTATAATAGTAACACCAAAAAGAGAGAAAACCTTTTATGTAAAAAATACCCCTTAAAAAGGGGACAGTAACAGATCTTTCACTAAATTTTAAATTCCTTTTCATTCACTTGTGTAACATTTTTATATGGAGGCAAATTTGACCTCTGGTTTTATTATAAATGACAGAGACACTGAAAAATAACAAGCTGATATTCTAGTGACTTCATCTATTTCAAACTGAGAAAAGTTAAAATCTAAAAGAATTATTTTAGAAAGCACATTTTTAAATTCTCTTATTAAATTCTGATTGACTATCATCAAATAAGCCAATTACGGAAAATCAGAAGAATGCCCGCAGAGAAAACCCATATCCTTTGTTAAAAGCAGATAAACACCAGATTAAGGAAGAGCCTTTATGTTAGACCACCTCTACTAGAAAGTTTCTTCTTAAACTCCAAAATACTGTTTTCAAATAAACAAAACTCTGTTCTCTAATTTTTTACAACACTGAAAATTTGTGTCCAAATAGTTTATATAGTCAACAAAAGATTTTCTGCTTTATTTTCAATCACAACTGCCTTAGAAAATGAGTCAGTATCAATACAAACCCACAATAAAGCTTTATTTCTGTTAACTTTAATTAAAATTACTGTTTATTACATGTATTTAAAATCTGAAAATACAAGCCTTCTTTTTCTAGACAAATAAATTGATTCACATTTCATAATATTTCTTTGAAAGGATGCTTTGAATCATTATTTGCCAGGAAGGAAACATTCTAGTAATTTACTTTTAATATTCCTTTCATAATTCTTCATTCTCTGAAATTCAGCTGTTATTGATAAGGATCAAAGTTGACAAGACAATGTCAGATTTCAAAAAATTATTTGTTCAGTATTTTACTTCTATTAACTCCAAATGTCTATCTGCATAAGAAATAAAGTTTCTTTGTTCCAATATTTGTTTCTTTTCAATCACAATAAAGTATACCACATACAATTCCATTTATATTAGAGAAGGGGAGTTGGGATGGGAGGGAAGGAAACATTACTTAACAAATAAACTGAATACGAGCTCTTGTATGAAAATCTTAGGAAGATTTTCATTTTTATTGAAATCTTCATTTATCTCTCAGTTTCATGTTAACCTGTTTATCTCCTTAAGGGGTGGGGACTGTGTCAAATCAAAATTATCCCTTTGGCATTGCTTTCCCTCATTTGAAAGAGTGATCTGTGTTATGTTGCTCTGCTTGGTTGGTAGGAGTTTCTAATCTGGATGCCCTGTTTATATCAGAATTGAGGGGAGCTGCTTGCAAGGGAGTCTGTCTTGTGAGGGAATGAAGCAGCTATTGTCATGACTCACCTATGTCATGTCTCACCTATGTCATGACTTAAGTCTTCCGCAGGAAAAATGTTCTGTGGATCTTCAGCCCTCTAAGATGATCAGAGGGGCACTAATTACAGATTTGGTGGAACATTCCCCATTTTTGGAAGACAGCTAACAAAATTCAATCTTTCAAACACACATTGCCCACTCTGCACCAGACACCGAGTACTGGGGAGAACACGAAGATCTAAGATATGGTGTCTGCAGTCTCCAAGGACATTTACAAATAACTAACATGCTGCAGGAAATTACAAGTATCCCAAGAACTAAAAGTTCAAGAGAGATTACACCCAGCTACAATTGGAGCTGGGAGGGGAGGGGAGAGTTCAGTGATAACTTCACAAAAGATTGCAAAGATAGAACAGGCCAGGGACTCTTGGCAAGAGGAAAATAGAGAGAGAGAAAAACTATAAGCCTCAGAGTATATTACAACTTCTCTAGAGCAAAGCACACACTGCCAAAGGGACTTTAACATTAGCTAAAGTCAAAATATTTAATAATCAAATATGTTATAACTAATGCACCAATGTTTTACCTCTGAAGCAATCATTCAGTCTAACCACAGAAATTAATGTTCAAGGAAAACTCATAAACCGAACAGAAATTACTGAAGTGCACTGGAAAATCTCTCTTTCTCTCTGTGGTGCACATGCACATGCACACACTCTCTCTTCATACAGAAATAGAAAATCTCTGTTTCTTAATCACAGTGAGGTGTGGGAGGAATGTTAATTTAAACTACAGCCTCATCAATTTACAACTATCACAGATTCCTTTTGGGCCATCAGTGTAATGCTACAGGGTGATTCCCTGGCATTTTGTTCTAAAACCCACAAATGAGACGATAATGTGAACAGCTGCAACTCCCTTCCTGCATTTCAGAAGCTCTGGGTGTCCACACACTTGCAGCTCTGTATAACTTCACACAAAAGACTGGCAACTGGCCAAGAAGCCTCAGCCATGGTGTATACTCCTCAAGGTTCGAGATTTTCCATTAAATTCCAATTTGGCTATGAAATGACATATACTTTAACAGACTATACCTCTATAAATATAAAACAAATTAAAGTCCAATTTCTATTTAATAAAAGTACGCCCTTAAAATGCAATATATAAAGACATTGAAATATATAATCTATATTTTAAAGAGTCCTATGAATATAATTAAACTCTATTAAGATAATTCTTAAAATTTCCTTGCAGTTAGTTTCTTTAGAATCTTACCAATAGCAAGAAAAGCAACTGCAAACTTGTTATAGCACAGAGATTTAATTGTATTTCCAAAGTCCTCCATTAAGCAATTCATGCACATTGCTAACTGAAAATCAAGAAGAATGAATTTTCTCAATATCTTGTATGTATAGGTTGACATGACCTATGACAATGACTGTGAGATATTAATTTCTGCTGCCTAAAGCAGAAATACTTATGAACACACAGAAACACATGGTTCTGTTGTCGTTCTAGTATATAAGTTTCCTGAGGGAAAATGGAAAAAAAACAAACTAATGAAAACACTTTAACTGCCTGGATAATGCTTAACTTTGGTAGAAAGGAGTGTTTCACAATAGGAAATAACAATAAACTGACCACTAACCCTTGTGTGAAAATCTTGGGAGGATTTTCATTTTTAACGAAATCCCTATCTACCTCCAGCTTCTCTCTCTTCTAGGTCTGGACACCTTCCACGCAAAGGATCACTGAAACAGTAGTGATCTGAACGACTAAACCTTAAGATGTTTATTCCATAGCTAGAATTTAATAACATTAAACCTCTAAAAATTTAAAAGACCTGGCAAACCACTGGCCTTTTTTCCGCCTCCTTTTGATGGGCACCTTTCTCCAATACAACTATCAACTAAGGACAATGTAGGAAGGACTAGCATCCCACTTCAGTAGAAGGTATGAATTTAAAGTGATATTTGGACTTTAAATCCCCATCTCTTCCCAGTAATTGCCTTCATGTGACATTCAAGAGCTGTCTGGCAAGAAAAAAAAATCTCCAAAGGGATCTTTTAAATGGCTTAGGGTTTTTTTCCCTTCAATGTCAGCAAGCATTTGAACTGACGGTAAACTAATTAAAACAAGAATTATTCATCATATTTACTAGTCAAAGAAATAAATTTGCTTCACACCAAAGGTAAAACTGAAAAATATACTGACTGTCTGATCATATCAAATGGATATGGACCATTAAACATCACTTGTAACCTAAACAACCTAGTTCAAAGTTGTCATAAAAACATTTATTTATGTCATAAAAACATGTCATTTATATTAAACAGGCATGTATATTATATTACAAAGAGAAAACAGGGCCTCCAACCTCTTTTTAAAGGATGAGATACCTAAAAAAAAAAAAACCTCAAATGTCAAAAACCCAAATTTTTGACATTTACCTCCGGGGGAGTAGAGGAGAATAGAACGGTACTGGGAGAAGGGAGACTGTCAAAACAATTTTGTGAACAGAGAAGTTAAAATTTTTAAGATTATATGGCAAAATGTTAACTAGACAGTAGGAACATGGGTTTTGTTTTGGAACATGAGTTTTTATCATATTATTCTTCAATTAAAAATAATAGAAGAAAAAGAAAAGAAATTATAATGAACAAGAAAGAAATACATATATTTCTTTCTCCAAAGCTTACTGGGATGGAGAAAGAGTAGGGTGTGGAAGAGAAGAGGCGGCCTCGAAGTCTAAAGGAACATTGCAAAGTGAAATCTGAAATGCACAAAGACAGGTGTTCCTGATGGCTCGCTCTAGTCCCTCTCCTGTGAATCCTAATAGGACTAAAAGGAAGTAATGCAGTAGCAACTAGCTGAGAGACTGGGGGAGGGAAGGGAAGATGGCAAGGAAGGTAGGAGCACACTTGCACACACATAGTAAGAAATGTCATTTCCAGAAAATATTAACTTACCAGTATGTACTGTAGCTACTGCAATCCATACAAACTGTATGTTGAACTTTATCTTGCTTTTCTGATTTCTTATGGTTGGTTAAGGGTATTTGTGCATCTTCATAATGTTTTTTTGCATGGCCATTCACATACCTTACAAAAACCAAATGAAAATTTACTTTAATCTAAATATTGCTTTGGAGATTAAAGTACTAAGGAGATAATAAAATTGTTAATCAAATCAAAATGAGAAAAATCCTATAACAGTAATATTCAATCATTTAGTAATTTATTAAGCTGAATACTTAAAATGTTTCCTTTTTGCAATGTTTTCCTTTTTGCAATACCACAGTCAACTTTTAATTATATACAAGACTAGGCCCAGGCAAGGAAAGGCATTATTTATGCAAATCAGTCTCAATACCACTGGTAATAGCACTTACAAATGCTTTTGCTGATGCTTTCGCTATAGCTTTCGCTTTTTACTTTTTTTTTTCCTTTTTAAGTTTTTCCTATACCTCTAGCCCTCAACTTGGGCTATTATCAAAGACAAGCTCTGTAAACTAAATTACTCAACCACTTCCCACAGGGCTGTAGGCTCTCTGCTTGAGTTGCTGCTTAATATAAAACATGAGAGTCAGATATAGAAAGGGATGATTATCTTTCATCTCTTTCTCATCAATATGTCTTCAAATCTTTTATTTGAATGCCTGGATAATCAGCTCCACTCATATGGAAACGCGTTTGTTTAGAAACAATCCGAACAAAACACAAATCATCTTAAGTTTATAAAAAATACTGTTATTTATTTACATGTACAAAGATAATCAAAAGTTGATTATATTCATAAAAATTCTGTAATACTTTGCAACTCAGAATTAATAAATCATCATACTACAGCAAGCAAAATGGAACTGAAATAAGGATTCATATGCACATGTCGTGCAGCCAAATTCACCTAACACCTTCAACTAAAATACTGCACAATGCTGTCACTGGCCACCGCCATGAAGACCTGTAACATGAAACTGCCCAGTTCCTAGAAAGCAGCCAACCTGCAGAAGGCAAGACCTACTTGAAAACTCAGTCAAAGCAAATGTTGTTTAAATGGTACCAAATAAGCTCAGAGAATTCAAATATTTCATCATGAGGCACCTTAATTGCACCAGAAGCAACACTTACCTTGGAGAAAGTAGGATAGTTGTGGTGAGTAGGAAGGATTAACTTCAAGCCTAGCCTCTATACCCAGGAAAACCAGATGCATTCAAGGCACTATTAACCTCAACTCAGAATCTGATCATGTTCTTTTCCCACTTTTTCACTGTACTTTTAACATGGATCCTCTATCCACAAAATTGGACTAAAATGAATTTTAAAGTCAAATAAAGATTAAAAGCTCAAAAACTAGACTGCCTGGGTTCAAAAGTAGGCTTTGTCACAGCCTGCTCATGTGAGCTTGAGTGAGTTACTTAACCTCTCTGTGCTTGTTTTTTCATCTATAAAATGGAGATAATAGTACTTGTGTCTCATGGGTTGTTAGGTGTGGCAAATAACAAATGAATGTCAGCAATTATTTTATTAGCATTTTTCTTTCTATACTTAACTACTTATTCAGAATCTAAACAACATAATTGCTTAGAAGGTGGTCACATTAAACACATATTTTGAAATAACACATTATTGCACAGGTCAAGAAACACCCACTAATTAAAAAGGTAAACGCTAATGCATCATATAGGTTCAATATCTAATCATCTTTATTTCCTATTCTTACCACATATTTATAGTACTTCACCGTGAAAAACAATAGTAATTTACTGCAATGGTAGTAATACTAAACAATAATAATAAAAGGCATTTCTACTTTCAAGTCTTTGAAAACTGATCATTTTTACATAGAACATATAGCTTATTTAACTACAACACCATAGTCTCCAAATGTTCTAGATGGTTACTTAAATGGTTCTTGTAAATGTCCTCGATAAAGTAAGAAGGATGATTATTACTGACATTAAGATTAGCAACACTTTGGCTAATACCCAAATACATTAGTCAGAAGCAGTTAAAAGTTTTGTATAAAGTAGATAACATAAATACTTCCCTCATCTAGTTTTGATTTTTAACTAGACATTTTGGTCTATAGCAGGTGTCCTCAAATTACAGCCCGCGGGCCACATGTGGCCTGCCAAGGACATTTATCCGGCCCGCTGGGTGTTTTTGCCACCGCTGCCTGTCCTGCTTAGCGGCCAACTCGTCCTGGGCCTACAGTGCGCATGTGTGGAACGTGCACCGCACTCTCCAATGGCCCTCCAATGGTCTGAGGGACAGTAACTGGCCACCTGTTTAAAAAGTTTGAGGACCCCTGGTCTATATAGCATAAGAGGAAAATTTTCACTATATAGGCCACAGATTTCTAGTAACAATCTCAAAAAATTTTAAAATAACTTAAATGGGATGATGTCATGAAGACCAACAGAATATATAATTCATATATGCTACTGATAAACTATGTTTCCTAGCTGAAAGAATATCCAAGACTTCCCTGCAGACAAGTAGTCTAAAATTACTAAAAAATCAGTATACTTAGCAATCAATACCCAGGATAAAATGATAAAAGAATATTAACCAATCAGCTATGTAAAATGGAGATCCAAATTCAGGCTACTCTCAATTATCTGTTTAATCTACTTAACCATATTTCTCCAAAACTATGTCAAATTTCTAAATTTAAATTTGTTTGCAACTGGAAACAGTCTACCTGTAGAGTCTAGAAATTTTTCAATTTATTTTTCCAAAACCTACTTAGAGAATTGTTTTGTGCTTGCCATTAAGAACATTATTTTCTCCAATTTTTGAGAGTTTGTCAGGTCTTTTGATTGGCATATGACCTTTAAGATTTAAGTTGTAGAGCACTATGAGACAACTGGAGAACAAACTACATAAATTTTATGGCATTATAATTCTCACCTCTCAAAATCTAGGAGAGGAATCTGTCTCTTCAAGTGTAGAATTTAAGTGCTTCTACTTTTCTTCTTTTTATAAAAAAAGTTATCTGTACAAAGTATTTTCAGGTTCCCCAAATCCTAGAGATTTCAAAACCACAACAGCCACAATTAAGATACGCAGTTAACATTTTCCAAAGGTACTTTTAAGTGTACATGGAAAAAATACTCAATTCCAGGACTCAAAATTGATAGTTCACTGTACAAAAGATGCTCTCTTCATGCAATGAGGATTTTAAAATAACAAAGGGGAAACAATCCAGATAAATATAATATAGATTTCAGCCTGTGAGATTCAGTATGATTTCTCATCTGCTTGCTGCTAAGCTATTAACTTCTATAATAAATTCAAAGTAGATTTTCTAAGCTAAAATGACAACAGAAATAAATGTGCTACTACTAGACAAAAAAACACAGAAGTTGATATTTAATTAAGTTTGTATTAGAAAAAAAGAGTTACTGAAATATTTAAGTTATATCATTTTGAAGCCAAAAACTGAGAGGAAATGCTCAGACTTAAACTGGACTGGGGTGAGGTAGGAGATGGTAAGTCCATAGAAAGCAAAATGTTTTAATGGAACAATGAAACATTTGGCACATCTCAGGCAGGAATTAATAATGAATTCCACAATGAGGTCATTTCAAAGAGAATTCCTTTATCTGTAAATAAAAGGTGGTGATGGGGTAGGTAACAGGTGGAACAAGACTGGCCATGTGTTAGTTAATTGTTAAAGCTGGGTGATGGGAACATGGCGCTCGATTACACTCTCTCTCTAGTTCTGTGTGTTTAAATCTTACCCTCATAAGAAGCTGAAAAAACCACCATTAGGTAAACTTTCCTTTCAAGATTTCAACACCCTTATTTCATCTTTCTAATCAAATATTACTATTAGATTTTCTTGATCATCAAACTAATTATTGTAAATATCAGTATGAAGGGGTTTTCCCCTAGATTTTTTTCCCAGTTGTATCACAGAACAAAGGGATTCCATTGGAGAGGGAAGCCCTACAGAGAATTATACACTACGATGAACAATGGTACTAAATCCAAACCAATAAAACTCTGACATAAAGCTTAAAGGCAAATTTTACAAAGCAAACAGGGCAGTGAAGTAATTAGCATGTCACCTACCTTCCACAGTGGACACTTGAACAAGTCAAACAGACCCAGGGGCTTTTGTTGGACCGGCACACTAATAAAAAGAAAAATACACAATATACCAATTGTATCATGTCATTTCCCAATTTCTCCCCATTATCCTGTGATTAAGTCATAAATCCCACGGCTGCTTAGGTATACTGGAATCACAAATCCCTGCTTTGTGGATGCATTTACACAAAATGGCTGCCTAATTAAAGTTATATTGAAAAGAATTTAAATGCATGTCCACAACAGCTGCGCGTTTTAATTGCTGACTCAATTCAAATAGCTTAACCATGTTAAATACATACATACTTTTCTCCGTTACTACTTATTCCCTTTTACCATGGTCGCCGACAAGTTAATGATAGCCTATTTGCCCATTAAAAACGTTTTTTAAAGTGTAGTCTTTTAATCATGTCTTTGCCATGCAAGTCATATACCACTATAAATGACAACTCTTTCAGTTTATTTATTAAAAGGCGCAACCTAAGGATACAATTAGGAAGACTAAGACTAGTTTTCCCAAAGTTATTCTCAGTTGCATAAAATATATGACAGCTGCACATAATTTCTGCTGACAGTATAATCAGGACATTAATTATTTTAATTTAAGTATTACAGGAGTGAGGCAAGCAAGAAGGGGTATGGAAACTTTTAAAATGTTGATTTAAATTTTGCTTGCTGTTTACTCATTTACTTTTTTACTTTTTAAAAAAGTCCTGTTCATGTAGCAATGATTTTCAAAAGGGAGGAACATAAAAATCACCTGGAAAGCTTTTTCCAGGAACCTAAATTCTACTCAGCCAAAAATATCTACACCAAGGTAGGGAAAGATGTACAAAGAACATGTACATTTTGAGCAAAGCAGCTTGCCACATGACTCCCTAATACAACCCCTTGAGAACCACTAGTCAGCCTCCTAGGGCGATACGGAGAGCGCCACAGTAAAACCACACACTCAGGATCATAAAAAATCCACCACCTGGCACACAGTACGTGCTCAATAAACATTTGTGGAAAAGAAAGTTTAAATTTTTTAGTTTAGGATACCAAGCTCTTCCAAGATCTAGTCCCTGCCTGCATCTCTCTTGCCTTATCACACATCACAACAGGCCTTTCTCACTGTTAAAAAAAAAATTAACCAGAACTGGAAACAAGGTCAATTGAGAATTCTTAAGTCCTTTCAATGTATGCTGAAACATTATTTAATAGCTCCTCCCAAAGATATTTAATTATGGCACCTAATTGTTTGACCTGCTGTTTACTACTGACTAGGACCCAAATTCTATAAAGTTACAGGTAAACTTGTAGATTTTTATTTTGTAGAGATAATTTCTGTCCAGCAGACTCCATGGGAAGGCTATTGTGAGGGGAGATGCTGGCTTTTTATCTGTACGCCCTTGTGGTGTTTGGCTCACAGCAACAAGAATATGATGCTTTCATAGTTTCAATGTCCAATAAAATATATTTTTAAAAATAAAAAGTAAATTGGAACAGAGCTTACTTGAACAGGTATTCATGGTTTGAGTTATGATTTGGAGGATTGATAAACTATGAATATCATTATTTTGTTCAGCCAGGAAATCCTTTTCTCTTAGTAAATATTAAGAAACATTATAACTCAATCTGGAAAAAAAACTGTGGAAGTTTAATATCATCCTGAAATAATTATGTTACAATAGTAAGTTTAGGCCCAAGTTTTTAACTATCCAGGGAATTTTTTTTTGGGGGGGGGGTAATTATGGAAGATTGTTTTCCTCCCTCCTAAGAGGAAAAGGAAATCTACAGCAAAATCACTGATACTTTGCTTTGGTGTATTTCCTGCCAAGTGTTCCTTCTTCCCCCTTTTGTACTTGCAAACATATACACAAAACAAATACAATTTTGTGATCCCATTTTCCCCCCATTTCCCCACCAATGATACATGAATACATTTCTTCATGTTACTGCATTTAGAACAGGGTATTATAAATCTAGTTTTATCTCAATGCTCTTATAAAGTTTTATTAATTTTTTAAATTTCTCAATTCAATTTAGAATTTTTAAAAAACCTAAGGCTAAAGGGAGAAAAGAATGGGAAGTCACTGCTTAATAGGTATGGAGTTCATTCTGGGGTGATGAAAAATTTTGGAACTAGAAAGAGGTGGTAGTTGTAAAACAACTGTAAATGTACTAAATCCCACTGAATTGTTCACTTTAACATGATTAGTATTATGTTATATGAATTGTACCTCAATAAAATAGATACTTAAGAAAGGGATGAGGAGAGAAAATAAAAGGAAATAAAATATTTCCAAAAACTTTGGAAATAAATGATTATGCCTTTTAATAAATCTCAAGAAAAAACCCCACAAGAAAACCTTCACTTTCTGCCAGGCATGGTGGAAATGTGCACCTCTAATCCCTGCTACTTGTGAGGCCAAGGTTGGAGGATCACTTGAGCCCAAGAGACCAGCCTGGGCAACAAACAGTACTCTCTAAGGGTATAATATATTCACACTAGAAAAACATTTGAATGCTAGAAAGACACAGAGCAGGGCAGATTCTGAGGCCAATAAATGGCATTACTTTGGGAAATATTCACTCTATTTATACACACTTTATCCAAGTTAAGAACCTTTAATGTACCCAACACAATTACAAAATAGAATAAAAAATACTAGCTTTAAATTACACTAACTCTCAATTGTTAAGATTAGAACAGGTCACAGTATGAATAAAAGAATACTACAGATAATCTTAAAACCATTTATGTTAATCACCTTTAGGGGAACAATCTTATTATAAAAGGTAGTTTCAATTTATAGACAGATGGGTTTCAAAAGTTTATCTGTAGGATGAACACTTTTCCTTTGAAAAAGTATTAAAGATTTCTAGGTTATTCTATAAAACTACATGAAATATAGCTGAAATAGTCATTTGTATACAAATATACATATACACATATACACAATAAAACCACAGATAGTCAATAAAAATATTTTAAAACTCTACATATTCAGCAAAACATGAAAATATTAAACCAAAGGGTTTTTTACTTTTTTAATCTTAAATGCTGGTACTTGAGAGAAAAGGTGATAAGGATGGAAACTTGTAGTTCAAAAAATTAAATCTGGAAACTTATAAGGGCTCTTGAATATACCTAACTACACTTCAAGGTGACATCAAGGAAAAGGAAGCCATGCATTTCTCACACTATTACACTTGGCCATAGGAGGGTCACGTGGCGTCTCATAAGTAAAATCTCATCTTTTACTCAGATTATAAAATTTCCTCAAACCAAGATACCCTCTCCCCCAGCAAATTTCTCCTGTTTGCTTGTATTCTTCCAACTCTGATCTCAGTGTCTTATCTCCCAGCCCCTGGGCATCTCAGACCAGAGGCTGGCACTAACTACGTTCCTTTCACTCCCCCTCTCTTTGGCTGTGGGCTCAGACTCTTCCTCTGTCCCTGTTCTCACCTCAGCCTCAAGCTCTTCCAGTTGGAAGGAGGGCCCCTTTGTCTGGAGGCAATAGAGAATCTATCTCTATCCTCCCCTGAGCCAGGGTCATTTTCCAGAAGGTAGAAGCTGTAATATATGCTGGACACAGGAGAGGGTGGGAAGAGCCCCAGCCTCTAAAACATGCCTCAGACATAATAAGTCTTCTTCCCTAACCCCCCCAAAGCTTGAACTCTCCTAAAAAGCAGGAGATGAGAACTTAAGGGGCACAGAGACAGAAGGAAGGCATCTAGGCATCTAGGTGACCTACGGTTTGACTCTACTATTCCCTGAAGGGAATGGTGGTCTGCTCCTTTATCAAGAGAGATAAAGAAGGGTAGGAAACTAGGGAGTTGTGCTTAAAGGGGCCTATTTACCCAAGAATGTTCTCTGGTTGTGTTCTTAAGACAAAGAGTTTGTACAACAAAATGGCATCCACACTGAATATAATAGTCTTTCTACATAACCACTGATCTTTAATATCCTTAGTATGTATTCACTATACAGAACCTCATAATAGAATACATTTGATATTCAAGGTCTATCAGTAATTCTTCTCGGCCCTGGCACAGTGGCTCATGCTGGTAATCCTACCACAGCCTTTGTGAGGCTGAGGAGGGAGATTTGCTTGAAGCCAGGAGTTTGAGACCAGCCTGAGCAAGAGCGAGACCACCCCACCACCACCACCACCACGGCCTCTACAAAAAAATACAAAAATTGGCCAGGCATGGTGGCACAGGCCCGTAGTCCCAGCTACCCAGGAGGCTGAGGTAGGAGGATTGCTTGTGCCCAGGAGTTGGAGATGCAGTGACCTATGATGATGCCACTGCATTATAGCCTAAATAACAGAGTGAGACTCTGCCTCACCAAAAAAAATAAAAAAAAAAAATTATCCTGGGATTCTAAACTTTTTGACAAAACATCTTGTATTACTGTTTATAACAACTCCATCACTATCCTACACACAAAATAATTCAAGCATACAGCACTGACAGGCAAGCCATTTATAGTCCATCTATATTATCCAGTGGTTGCATCAACTGGGAGGGAAGGCACTTTATCTTCTCAAAAATTCAGAAAGGTGATGACTGTTGACCAGGATTCTAGTTCTGGCTCTACCATTACTAGCTACAGAAGGGAGAACATTACTACTATTCTGGGTTTATTTCTTCATTATAAAATGAAAATTAGACGATGACTTTGTCCCCTCTAATTATAAACATGACAAGGACTAGCAAAAGTTAGATGAAACAATCATGTCATCCTCCCCTATAAAAAAATTCTTCCAACTCTTCTTTCCATCAAATTTTCTTAAAAGGCTTAACAAAAAAAATTTATTGCTAATGTATTATAGTATAAACTTCTAAACCAATGGTTTTCAGGTCTTTTCCTGCCTCCTATCAACCCTGAAGGCAAACACATTCCTACCACCCTGCCCATCAGTAACAGCAAGTCATTGCAACGGGGGAAGGGGGTGGGAAGTATGTGGTAGTTCACTGTTTAAAGCCAGAACAGACAACATGGGGCTGTAACAGTAAAACTCAGAACCGCCTCTCCCACACACTTTTTAA